ACTATATTATAATATAATATAATATAATATACACTAAAAAATTGTTGTAGGATTTATAATTTCACTCATAAACTCACTTTTATTAATTTCTAGTGAATTTCACAAATAATTCCTAAGAAATGGCAAGTAACACATTGAATTAAAAAGTTATATTTTACAAGTTACAAATTTTAATGTTACATTTTACATTTCAATATTTTTTTAGATTAGTAAAAAAAAAAAGATTAGTAAAAAAGGCTGAAATATACTGCAATAATCTTTTATTTTTTTATCAACAATAATTTTTTACAGTGTATAATACTAATTTATTATCTAATCGTACCATTCACAAAACAAAAAAGCAAACAAGAACATGTATCGTTATAAAGAAAGGTTCACATAAAATAAAGTGCATATATTTACATCAGTAAATTTGATTATTAAAATTGATTATTCATTTGTTCTTTCATATAGTACATGTGTCATTTGATGTACAGAGAACAGCAAATGTAATTTTGGACACTGCATTTCATTAATATTTCAATTTATTTCTTATCTAAAAGTGTGTATAACATATTAATAGCGATGTAACGATTCACTCAACTCACGATTCGATTCACGATTTTAATTTTTCAATTCGATTCACGATTTATTTATTTTTTACAAAATGAGATTTAAGACAAATTATAAATTAAATGTGTCCTTTTATTATTGCTTGGGCAAAATGCTGCACATTTCTTTGTGAAATTGAAATATAACTATAATAATATACTAATATAGCACTTGCATATTATTGCTCTTTTGTTGGTTTTGATTGCTTCTATTGTCCTCATTTGTAAGTCGCTTTGGATAAAAGCTTCTGCTAAATGACAAAATTTAAATATAATGTAATTGTAAATAACATAACACTGTATTTATCCTACTGTAAGAGTAGGTTTAGGGTTGGGGTAGGTGTACATGTTAATAAAGCCTCACACCTTATTAATATCATGCTGGAAGCAAAATCTGATAGGTAGCATTTTTTGCTATCGAATTATGCTACCATCTGTTTTAATCGTTACATCCCTACATATTAACATTGTTTATTAGGCACTTGATCATTGATTTTGCTTGCCAGTTAGCATAACCTAAAGAAAAAAAAGTTGTTGTTTTTTAAAGACAAGTTGAGGAACCTAGTAAAGTGGTGGCTGCACGTCACAAGTTTTATGTTAGATAAGGAACTATTGAAGCTGTCTATCATGTTGGCATATATTCATTGGCTTAAATAAAGAACACAGCCCTAAATCATATAGCTGAATACCGTTGTCAAATTCCAGCCATTTCCATTCACTTTTTTCCATCACCTTATTTTCTTCTCTGTATCTCCTCATTTCTTCTTTAAGGTGTCTTTCGCTTCTTAGAAGTTTTCGATTGAATTAACACAGGATGGAATTTATGTGGTTGCAGTGGAGAGGTGGGTAAGAGTGTAGTAGCAAAATGTGTCTTGTCTGTCACTTAGCTGTCATTCCATGTGGTCATGTGAATCATCCCCTTTTCTTTCCTCAAACTTGTCTTTATCTCTAGCTGGAATGGTTGGGTAACTTAAACCCGACTGCACCGATGGGATTCATCAACAGCATATCTACAACTATGGTGAAGGACTGCCATTAGCACTTCTGTGTTCAGTGACCATTTTGCATGAGAAACATATGGCTTGAGCTATTCTCTGAGAAATTAAAGCATTCACTAATATGCAAGTAGGTGGAGAGATAATAAGCCATATTAGTATAATTTTCCTTTTTCCCCAAGGACCCATTTCACACAATGTCATGACTGTAGATGGAGTAGAATTACAATGAATCTGAACACATCCTCCCACAGTAAAACATGTTTTTTTTTTTTTGTAGTCCAATTCAGATTTCATCTTGAAAAGCTAGTATTACTTCTAAAAAGTCTTCGAAATCTCCTCTGCTAGTTAATGGAACTGTAATTTTCCATTGGCCGTTGGAGACAATAAAAATCAGGGCATGCTTTTGTGCACTAGGGCACTAAACACACAGTCAAGCATTCCAGCTGTTAAGTCAGTATTAATGGATTAAAAGCATTACATGCAGTGATTGAGCACTCATTCTCAATATTGCTTTAAAACCTAAGGGTCTTCACAAATACAAAGACACAAACAACCTTTTTTTCCATAATGTTCTGATCATTATTATAACAACATCAACAACGAGGGGAAATTAGGACATGTTCTAGTTTGAGTATGCCTCAGTTAAGTTGGAGCATTATGCATTTTGCCCTCTGGCCACATTTTAAATTGAAGAGTTCAACTAGCCACAATTGAGTTTTCATCCAATTGCTTTTGTGATTCATGTTTACTGGTTCTGTTCCAAAACCTAGTGAACTGCATACTGCCTACATAGGCGGTTGCTTTGAAGGACCTTCTCAAGTGACTGATTTTAAATACTAATTTTTTAAGAGTAGAAGTATATTTTAAGTATATTGTATATTGTAAATACACTTTATAGATAAAATCTATAATACTGTAGCATCTGGACCAATCAGACACACAATATATATTTTTTTAGTTATATTTAACAAATACTCTGTAACACCCCTCAGTTAACAAGCCATATGAGGGTCTATGGACCCTTCCCCCGAAATGCGTCTTAACACCTCAGAAAGGCAGAACAGGCCTCTGGTTCCATGGCAACCTATGTTGATATCACTGGTTTTATTGCCCAAAGGAATGTGGGCTAAGAAACTCACTCATTTTCCTCATATGAAAGACACATAATGCCCAGAGAAATGGACTGTTCTCTAATTAATTCATAGGAAAACCTTTCTTT